ACGAGCAGGCCGCCTTCGGCCACCACCTGCGCTACGCCTGGAACAAGACGGACGACCTGCGCGCCATCCCCTGCATGGACGCCAACGGCGCCCACCACTGCGGCGACCGCAAGTGCCTCGGCATCTACGTCTCGCACCACTGGGGCAAGAAGGACGAGCCCATCCAGGACCTCTGGCGCCTCGTCACGCGTGCCGTCACGCGCTACGCGCGGCAGGGCCGCCCCGATCCTCATCTTCAAGGCCTTCATCAACCCCATCCGCCCGCCGCCCAACTGGGCCTTTTACGATGAGATGCTGCGATTCGACGAGGCGTAGGTTGACTGCTCTTCTGCACGGCGCTCGGCACGAGTACGTGCCGCAGAATTTTTTTTGGGTGGTTTTACGGATTTTTTAGAAGGCAGCGTGTTTTTACGACTTTTCCTCTTTTCAGGCATCATGCTCTTCCGGGCATCATGCTCTCCCGGGCATTCTGGGCGGATGGGACTATCTGTCCCACCCCCTATTTATTATACAACAACAACAACAACAACAACAACCACAACCAACATCACAAGCCTTGTATTTGTCCGATTCAGCCTGCTTTTTCACCACGAAACTTGGGATACCGCTCGTTTTCCTAACGCCTGTACTACTACACGACGGCATCGAGGAAAGGTCTGCTTTCCGAAAACGACATGGGCGGGAGCTTGTACCTTGACGGGCTCAAAATGTCTTTCGATGCGAAGAAAATGCTTCGACTCTTGCGTTGCCAGCGAAATCACTTGGAAATAGAGGTCTCGCCTTCAAAGAAGAAGAAATTAGACCCGTTAGCGGCCGGACGGCCAAACCTGCGCGAGATTTACAGCGCTCTCCGATATCATGCTTCCCATCACCAACGATGCGATACTCGAGTCCAGAACCAGCACCCTATCACACGGTCCAATAACCCGGCGTCTCCCTTGTGTTGACAAACAGATGTCCCCAGCTCAACTTGTTGGTTCAGGGCGAGCAATTTGTCAGCACCATGCCTCACGAGAGTGCTGTTCTTTGCTATTGGGCACCAGCCCAATCGACTGAAACAAATAATGCACACGTTGCAACATCTTTCGCATAAGGTTTATCGCACAAGGTATATTGCACAAGGTATATTGCACAAGGTTTAGCTACTGGGTCCTCATTCCCATGGTGCCCGAGTCAGCATTCCCAATGCTACGCCCCAATCATGAGCCGCGAGCAGGCGACGCGCCAGTCTTCAGCGGCCCCCGTCAGACTCGGCAGTCCCTGGCATGGGGGCGGGCATTGTGGTGCCACATGCTGTCAGGGCTGTGCATACCACTCGGATCGAGGAATGCTGGCAATACAGGACACAGACACATTCTGGCAATCGAATGCCGCGAAGGAGGACAATACGCAGCGGTGTCTCGCGCCCTGCAGTTCCTGTCTCTATCAAGCTGTGCGCCAATCTAGCAGCGCCTTGCATGCGGCAACAAATCGCCCGCCCGCGATATATACCAAACCAGGTCGTTGAGCCCAAAATATAACCATCTTAATGCCATCTTGTCCCCGAGTCATTTCGTGATCGTACCTCATCGTCATTTGCCTGCTCGCTCACGTCCACAGCCATACCCACAGCCCCTACGACAGCCCAATACTGGCACTCATCGCAGGGTCCCAGGCCCCCCAGACCGCCAGCCCGACCTCGCCCCGCGCCCACGCCATCCCCTCCTGCGCCGCCGGCAGAAAGGCCAGCTCCGTCTCGGGTAGCGCCTCGGACAGCTCGGCCACGAGACACGCCCCGAAGCCGGCGGCCCACCAGCACCGCAGCCCCATCCTGTGCAGCAGCACGCCCCAGTGCATGACGACCAGCAGCGCCATGGGCTCGCCGCCGCCGACGGCCGCCGCGAAGCCGGGCCCGGCGAGGCTCGGAAACGAGGCGCAGTACCCCGGCAGCAGCCCCGTCGCGTCCTCGGCGAAGCACGCGCCCAGATGAAACACGGCGCGCCGGTACATCTCGTGCCGGGAGAGCGGCGGCTGCTGCTGCTGCTCGGCGTGAGAGGCCGCACGCGCGGCTTCTGGCTGTCGGGTAGTAGC